AAATTACAATTCTTTCTGAAATGAATATAAAATCAGAAATCTTAAACTTGACTACTAGGTGTTCTTAAACTTTTAGTTTTAACTTAAGTTGTTATAAGTTTTTCTTAAGTTATAATATTATAATTAATAAATTAAGTAATGTTTAAGTTTAGGGGACTTTGATACACCAAAATAAAGTGCAATTTTATGTATATATTTTATGCTTAAATGTGATGACATTGCACTTAAAAGAAAGGTATTTTCATATTTTGTTGCTGATATATTGATTTTAAGCATTTGGAGCAAAAATGAGCATAAAGGAAGAAATTTATAGTCAAAATGCAAATTTTCAGCATACTAGCTCTAGAGGCACCAGAATTGGCACCAGAATTGGCACCAGAGGCACCATTTTACAGAGAAGAAATGCCAGAACGGCGCCAGAGGCACCAGAATCTAGAGAGGATCACGAAACCCTAGTGAACAGGGACCGGAACAACCGTCAGAGATGGATTTAGATAAATTGCTTGTGGTTATTGACTATTTTTTAGATGCTCTAGAAGGCTCCAAGTAATTCAAACGCCCCATTAAATGGTTCAATGCATTTAGACACTTGGGAAAGGCTCTTGAATGAAGAGATATGTCTCTTGGATGAAGAGATTTGTCTCTTGGTGTGAAGAGGTGTGTCTCTTGGGAAAAAAAGAAGAGATTTTTGAATTTCTTTGAAGATGGGCTGGCACCACTATTAAGTAGTCTAGGAAGTCTTATTAGAATAGGAGGTTTTTGCATGGGTCTTTGGAGGAGAGTGTGAGAGTGTGTGTGTGAAGTCTTTGTAGAAGGAGAGGGTTTTCTTCTAGAGTTGTAAGAGGAGAGGAGAGGGAAGGTGAGAAATTTCTTCTTCATTATACTTCTAAGAGAGAATTGAGTGTAATTGTAAAGAGAGAAAGTAATTGTAAAGAGGTGTAATTGTAAAGAGAGAAAGTGCTTAAAGGAAACTTCAAGGGATTCTCTTGAGGAGGAGTGTGAGGTAAGCTGTGTTATTTTCTTTCTTTTTTTGTAAACTTATTTTTATATATAAGATCCATGTTTTGCCATATCCTCCTCATGAATTCTGAGTAGTTTTCTTTATTCATCTCCCTACAATGAGATATGATTTTGTGAAGAATTAATATTGTTGTACAAGATTTTAAATGTCAATAAATTGTGATGATTTGAACTCTGATCTTCATTTATTTTTCAATTTGGCAAATTGAAATGTTAAAATTTGTTGAGGAACATAAGTTCTGAAAGGGCTATGCTTTCTACAACAAGGTGAGAGTCACATTCAATTTCATAGATGAGAATGTAGTCCATAGGGTTGAGTGCAAAATAAATAGGGAAATATATTTTGATGGACATAGAATTGGAGATTTTAAGGTGACAGACTAAAATCCTCAATTTAGTCCAATTATTTGGAAACTAAAGCGAGATTGTTAGCCCTCCAAGGAGGAAGAAGTGGGAGCTCTGGAGTGGGAGCCAGTATCCTCTCAGCCTAACCACAAATTTATGGGCCAAACTCTGGATTATCCAATGTTCTTTATGCACTTGACAGGTAAAGAATAGGATTACTCATGCTTGGCACAATACAATTTTATATAATTTTAAATGACTTTAATTACTTCACTAACCTTAAACCCATTGTAAATGGAAAAGATTTTTTCTTAAATTTGAACTCTTTGCTACAAAATTTTGTTTAGTCATAGTAAATTTAACTTTGAAGTTTAAAAAATAGTTTATTTAACTTAGTTCTCTTAGCTACATTCCATTAGCGAACATTAAACTTACTTTTAACCTATTTTTCTTGCTTAAGATTTTCCAAGGGAATGTATTCTCAAGTTATCAGGGCACCACAGTATGCCTGAACTGATTTCAATTGATCATTGTCAACCAGCACTATCAAAGTACTATGAGTTATCTTGTTTTTTTAGAGTCAGAGGACTTTTATGCCATTAGGTGTCGACCCTCCCTCTCAGGGAAGCTGCTCTCTTCCTCGTACTAGTGCATCTTGAATTGTACCCAACATTTGATACTTCAACTTTTGGATTTATTGAGATAAAACTTTTTGTGCACTCTAAGCTATTGATATCTCTTTTGTTAGTTTATTCTCTTCAAGCTACTCTTCTTGTTGTTTGTGGTATGATCCACACTTACCACACTTTTTAAGATATTCAATCCTGATTTATTTGTGAATCACACCTAAGGAAAAGAGCATAAGGGGGGAGAGAGAGAGAGAGACATAAAGAGACAAATAGAAGAGTGGACAGTATTGAATAGTACCAAGTCATGTTATTATTGTCATATTCATAAAATGATCTCCATATTTATATGAGAGAAAGTATAATGTGATAGTGTTACATTTGTCCTTGCTTTGAAGGGAGTCATACTAGATATTTCTAGTATCTTACAAGTATAAACTTTTCTTCTGACTGCTCTCTAGCTCGATCAAAGAAGCTTAATTGGCTTCGGATCTCCCAGATTAGCTCGATTGGATATTATCTATTCGGTCTGCTGAGTTTGACTGATATGGGTCGACCAATTGATATGACTCGGTTGTCGATCCTTGACCATTGATGAGGAGTCTTTTGGTGTCTTTAGGGCTGGTTGGAGAAGCTTGGGAACTGAAGCAACCCTCAGATTGGTTCTCTTATGATAGTCGGCTCGTATATCCCTTTGCCTCATTTATAGTTGAATGACTCATTTTTGTATCCCTAATCGGCTTTAGTTCATCTCATGGTTCAATCAACTTTGGCCTTGCTGTCTCTGACTTGGAGAGCTTCCCCCAATTAGACAAGTGAGTCTCATGGTCTTTTGTTGATAGACCCTTCTTTTTTCGCACTATACCATCAGATTTCCTTAGGATCTGCTTTGACATATTTTTATGTACAAGTAAATTGATAATACTTAAAAAAGGTATTTATGTAAATTGGAGTTGTTGAAAGATAAATTTGATTGAGTACCACTGTATTACATGACCACAATTGGAACCGGAGTGAGATCAAGAGGGTCGAGGAAAAATGGCTAAGATTTCAAATAATTTATCAAAGCATTAAATTTTATGAAATATTATAGTTCAATGGGCTGGTGGAAGTGATGGAAGATCACCTTTCATAGAAGGTCGAAAGGTAGCATTGAATATATAAGGTAGCAATGAATATATATATATATATATA